TTAAGAAAGCAGAATAAGCAAAATAGAGCATTTGATTATTGGGGTTTAGGAAGCTCTCTTCATACAAGTGGATTTGTGTCTCATATTGAACATAAACGAAGATTGGTAAAATCTTTCAATTAGTTTAATAAATATATGTATATTATTTTAACTATATTTTTTATTTATAGAAAGAGTTTCTTGGCCGAGAGTTGACTCTTTTAGAGTTGCATATGAGGACTCGCCAACATCAAGCTGACCTTCAATGGGTTGAGGAGAAGATGAAAAAAGCTTATGTGAGTATAATTTTTTTGTAATAAAATAAAATAAATATAAATTTGTTATATATATTTATTCTTGCACGATGATTTTATATGAGTTTGGGAAAGTCATCAGTCTGCTAGCGAGGGATCATCTTCAGGATTGACCAAATATTCTAAGTATCACATGTGATCAGATGTTATTGGAGGAAGGCAGATGAGGAGGGTTTATAGGGATATACTTATGAGAGAAGTTCATCTACGTCATCATTTTATGATGTTAGTGGAGCTGAAGGAACTATAAGCTAGAGGGTCGCTGCCCTAATAAGAGAGATAGAGGATATTACGAAGATTCAAAATGAGATACAGGCAGAGTTGTGATCACATTAAGATGAAAATTAGAAGAAGATAGAGCAAGAGTTGACACATGAATCACAAGGTAGTGAGAACACAGAGGATGATTAATGTTGTTATTTGTTTAATGAACTTTTTGGTGTATTTTAAATATTCGTTGTAGATTTCATATATTATATTTATTGTAGAACATATGCATTCTTCTTTGTTTAAAGAATTATTTCTACTTATTGTGGATTATGTAAATATAATTTATTGATTGTGCTTTTTTATTGCATATGAAATATTATGTTGATTTTGGACTCCATTTATATGGGCAAAGTATAATGGCGTATTGCTCTTGAAGTTTATATTTTATATATGTTATGAATTCTCTGTAGGTATTGTGAAAATTGGATTAAATATAGGGGGCTATCAATTTTTTTTTAAATGCTTTGGGTTTCCAATGACTAATTAGCGGTTTGGCCATTGGAAATATCGATACCGGACGGTTTATTTAGCCTTTGGTGTTTTAATATAGCCACCAATAAATGTCAGCGGTCCACCGATGGCCAGGCTGCCCGCACTATCGGCATTTGAGATGGTCGGTACGCCGCCGATAATTACCCAGTAGTCGTCGATACTTTGATCGCCAGAATTTATCGACTGTTCTATAAAAAGATAAAAAAATATATTTATAACAAAATTCAAACAAATTATTATATTGCAATAAAAATTACAAGTTTTGCATTCTATTTTATATCTTCTGATAATATTGCATTATAACTTCATTTGAAACCAATAGTGTAAAAGAATTCCACACGATAATGATGTAAATTTCTCACGTCGGCATTTCTACGTGTTGATCGTCTATGAGCTTTGAATGTATAACTCATAATAGGAACATCAACTTCAAAAATATTACAAAAATAATATACTTCTTCCAAAAAGGAATTGCATCCATTATCCCTCATCATATGTAATTGTTATTTACAGATTTGCACTAACTTCATTGCATTCACTATATCCTTATCTTTTCTCTACAAGGCCTATGATAATTCATTGATGACACCTAAAATATCAATCATTAAGTGCATAGCAAGGATAAAATCAAAATATTTCATGGCATCTATCAGAGCACCAGTTTCAACAGCTTGTTGATCATGCACCCCATCTTTCTTGATAATTTCAAGAACTTCAATTACTGACGCATACATTTTCTTTAAGCTAATTAATGTATAAAAATCTGAACTCCAACGGGTGTCATCTACTCGTTGTAAGCTTGTCTCTTGGTTCAAACTTCTACCACTCCTTAACTCCCCTTTAGACAAATGAAACATTATTTTTTCATGTTGAATTTCTCTAAGAGCATCACTCCTCTTACATGAAGCTCCAATAATATTAACAATTATTGAGGTGTTCTCAAAAAGATGCTTCGCATGCCAATAATTTTTAGCTACAACCACGAAGCATAGTTGAAATTTTTTAATTTGAGCTTGAATATGTGGATAAAACTTTCTTAATTTCATCATTATGATTGCTAAGGAAATGAAATAGTTCCAAATAATTTCCACGATACTCATATTTGGATGAACCATCATGCCCATGAAATGATAACCCTTGGCGTAACAGAAATCGAACACAACCTACTGCAGTAGTCAACAAAACTTTGATTAGGGCAAAATAACTATTTAGGGGGGGGGTGGGGGGGGGCAAAATTACAAAATAGTTCTCACTCTAAGTATTTTATTTTATTTTAGGTGAGGAAATTGCGCATCCCAAAAACCCCCCACCCCCCCCCCCCCCCCCCTACATGTGAAGGGTTCCGCCCCTGCCTACTTTGACTTTTCTTGAATTTCAAACAAGTGCTTGATATTTCAATTAAAATACTTTCATGCTTCAGCATTAAAGAACAACATAAAACACCTAATTCTCTTCTTTCTTCATGGCATGATCATCTCATATATCTATTATAGCACAAAGAATTTTTCTTCTTTGTTTAAATTGAAAACATCCTTTACATTTAAAGATTAATTGGTGCTACATAATTTACATTAATTTTCAATCATGTTATTCATGTCATACAATATGTATCCATTAGTACAACAATCTATTTGCTATACACTAATACTAATTATTTGTCCTATAAAAAATCAATAGATATAATATGATTCCAATCCTATGTCTATTTGTAGGACACATATACTTTGACCACATTCTCCAATAAAATTAAATTTTTGTATATGTTAAATGAGTAAAGCTACTCCTAAAAACATTACTTCCAATCACAAGTGGTCTACTCAAATGGATTTCGTACACATTTATTTGCAAAGTATTTTTACAGGTCAATCTAATCAACATGTCAAATTTCTCGAGTCAAAATATAGATTTTTTGAGCGAATGTAATATTTTTTTTTTGTTCTTAAGGATAAAAACTTTGATGCCCAATTCAAAGCAAGAATTAAGTATCAAAAGTTACTCGATTGGTACCCGATAATATTTACATATTTAACGTGTCATTAAAAAAAAAATATTTTCAGCTTAAATTTTGCTAAATTAACATTATCATTTGGATAATGCTATTCTCATAAAATAAATTATATATAAAATTTCGTTTAGATCTTTTTTAAGTGTGGCTCAATCAAATATGGAAGAATATTATCTACTTTTATTTTTTATTTTGTTAAATAGTCCACCTAATGAATAATTAATATCTCTATGACATGAAATATTTTTTTAAATAGTATAAGTGTATAACTTCTCTCATATTTTTGGAGTATGCCGTTAACTCAATTCATTTGCCCGTATAGCTATCTTCAAACGGTCACATTTTGATTATGAGCTGCGTGGTTCCAAACAGCAAACACTGTACGGATGACAAAGTCAGCGGATAGAATGCCAAAGAAACTCCCCACCAAACAGCCCACCTGCAGAAATTCCATGTAATTTCTTGTTCTAATATTTGTTCTTTTCTCCAAATCCATTCGAGATGGACAAATTTTATTAAATATTTTATTTTAAAATAATGAAAAATTCCAATTATTTAACAAATGGAGCATATTTTAGTTTGACACAATATCAGCTTAATCAAACTCCATGCATGCATGATGACGCATCGTCAAAATTTTCATAAAAATTTGTTTTAAAAAAAAATTGTGGCCTTTTCATAAAGAAACTAAAAATTCCAAAAAATATATATATATATATATTTTAAAATGAGAGAGTAATGCCTCTCAAAAAAAGGTCGAAGAATAATAACCTTAGAAGAGATCTAAAAAGACTATTTTGATAATTTATGTAAAGGGATAACTAATAATAATAAAATTTCATGTATATCTTTTTAAATAATTATTTAAAATTTTATATATGATAATTATTTTATTAAATAATATTTATTAAAAATTTGCATAAAAATGTAATTTTTGTAGGTTTTCTATAAATGTTATATATTATTTTTTTCTACTTTTTTATTTCATAAAAATTTGCAAACATTTATTGAATATTTAGGCTTCATTTGGGACAATTTTTGTACTCCTTTTAAAAATAGATTTTTAGTACACAATTTTTTTGAAAAATATAATTTCTACTAAAAAAATTATTTTAAAAAGTAATAAAAAAGTTGTCCCAATCTTAATTAAAATTTAGTCATTTTTATGAGAAAGATAATGATTTTATGGCATACATATTTTACAAAATAGGACAATATAATCATAATGCAATATAAAAAAAAAGCTAATTCACATCATAGCTTTTTATTTTCAGAGTAATTTCTGTTAAGAATTATCCAAGCATAATATTTTATTCTAATACTTTTATTAAGCTCAGTTAAAATTACAATAATAAAAAATAAATGATTAAATTTGAATTAAAAAATTAAAAAAAAAATTGAAATGAATTTTATTTTATTTTAAGATAATATAATATAATAATTAAATACATATTTATATATTTGACAGTCTTATAATAAAATTATTATTTTTTATTTTATCTGAATTCAAATTTAATCCTATTTTTAAATCCGAAATATTTCCCATAAGATTATTCAAATTAAATTCTACTAAATTTATTAAAAATAAATCCAAACTCATCAATATATCATATTATATATATAGCTTTAAATTTACAAAAAAGTATACATTAGAAAAAGAAAAAATAACCACCAAAATAATAAAATACGAAATTTGAAATATAAAAATCAATTAAAAAAGAATTAAATTCACATAGAATACGATTTATTTCAAATGAGTAGACTTGGTAAAATGACTAAAATCATCTCAATTAATTCTCTTATTTATTAAAAAAAACTCATTTTTCCAATAAAACCAAATTTCCCTTTTAAATAGAACTGCATGAAACAAATTAACCCATTAAAACCTCCCACCTCCTCCTCACCACCACTCTCAAACCTATCCACAAACCTCTTCTTCGATGGACCTCTTCGAACAATCAAGAGGAAGGCCATCTCCAAAGCGAGGAATCCAACTCCAAGGCCCTCGTCCCGCTCCTCTCAAGGTTAACAAAGACTCCCACAAGCTCAAAAAACCTTCTTTTCCTCCTCCCCCCACAGCTCCTTCCACCATCCAACGCCGCCCTCCGGTCATCATCTACACCGTCTCACCAAAGATAATCCACACCAAACCCAGCGAGTTCATGTCTCTCGTCCAGCGCCTCACCGGCTGCTCTGCCTCCAACGCTTCTGCCGCCACCGCTACCACCGGCAACCCCACTGACAATAACAACCTATCAGCAGAGCAAAACTCACCTGCCCAAAACAAGACTACAAAGGATCAGGATGACACAGATGAGCTTCGCCGGCTTTTCATCGGCGGAGGTTCGACGACGGGGATTCAGCCAATATCGCCCAACTTCTTCTCTCCATCAGTGGTGGATATAAATCAGTTCAGCTTTTTCCATGAGTTGAATGTGCCGGCTTTGCATGGGAATAAAGGAATGATGGATGGAGGCTTCATATCTAGTCCTGGTAATTTCTCCTTTCAATTGTAAAAGAGAGAGAGGAGAAATTAATGGAGTGAATTGTTAAATTTTATAGGTTTGTAGGAGTTATGTTTTGAAGAACTTTTCTGTATTTTGGTGGATCGATGTGTTGTGAATAATTAGTCTGTGTTACGTGCATGACAGGTTGTTGATCGGGTGACCGTTAATTTGGTGAAAGTAAGGATATATTTGTTGTATTATTCGTTCTAATGAACTACGAACTTATTTTAACATTATCATAAAAATTATATATATGTTGAGTATTAATTTACAGTGTATGGGCTATACATCCCGTTGAAAACTAAGCAGAATTAGAATCATACGTGGAAAACTGTTTGCTCAGTAAGTAAATCACAGAAGAAAACTCCAACTTATGTGGTGCATCTTCCTTCCAAGAGAAACCATGGAGGGGCTTCTGTAGGTATCTTGTTACATTTACTGTAAGTGTCCAGAGATCTGTCTTTTGATTTTTGAACTTGTATGTATATTTCTTCTATTACAAGTGAGAAATCAAAACCTTAATTTTCCTGTAGATTAGAACACAAATGAATAATATTTTATCAGATTGCATGGTAAATATTATTAAATGAAGTACTATGTCTTCTCATTAAGCCAATCAGGCTTTGTTCTTCGTATACATTAATTTTAATTAAGCTTAAATGAGTTCTATTCACATTGAGCAATGGCACTGAAATAACTGTCTTTTTAGAATCCATGCATATAGCTAGCAATTATATTTCATTACAACTTTCTTCACACGTACTTTTAGATGTTAGCGGATCTTATAAACAACTGTAACATAACATGCATGGCACTCAAGATTTTATTGAAGAAAATTGCTCTTCAGCAATCATTTCAGGTTATCTGATGTGACATGACTCTCTTGCAGCTTAATTAGGGTTTAGTATGACGAAGCTTGATCAGAAAATCATGGCAATAGCTAGCTAGACATGAATGCTTCGACTACATAGCCAACAAAGCCATCAAACATGGCAAACAAAGCTATGAAATAAATTGTGATACAAAATAGTAGAATCTATCTTACATGCAAGACAAAAAGAATGTTTTATGTTCTCACCAAGAAATAAACAAAGAATAGATTAAGCTAAATGCAAAATTAACTTATGATACCGCACAATTTAGCTTAAATTGAAAGAAAACATTTCTAATTTGCAACTTAATATGTTTTAAGGTGCTATTCTTTCATATATAATTAAAAATTCTTCTTAATCCATATCTGATTGCTCTTGCAGCAGATTTATGGCTGGTCTAAAGTTAATCTTCTAACCTAGTTGGCATATTAAAATGAACTGTGTCATTAAAAAGACCCCTTTGTGCCAAATGGAGCAAAGTCGTATATAGAAGCCAAGAGCTACAAAACAAAATAAATTATAAATTTTCAAAATGTCTTTTTTATGGACTTTATTTCATGATGGGAAGATGACGACTTTCTTGGTTTGCCGTCTTTTATTTATTTTGGAATGTCAATAAATAATATAAATTGATAACTTTAATAGATTGTGACTCAAAAAATTCAGGTTATTGATCTGATTATTATTCAGGTTGCGATAGATATTAATATTTCGACTTGATTAATATTTGTGCAAACTTAGATTAACCTAAAAAGTCAAAATAGTTCCGACTAAGGTTAAAAAGATCAGGTTTAGATTAAATGCGTTATTTTGGGTTAAACAAGTCTAGCTGATCTATAAAAAATTGTAAATCGTTCATGTAATAAATGTGTCAGATACAAGTTAAGTTAATTCAATTGAAGCAGGGCGGAACCAGCCATAATGTTAAGAGGTAACTTAAAAGTTTTTATTAAGTCGCAGATATAAATCGGGCGAGATAAATTTGATGTACTTTTTTATTTGGTTCAAATCTTCTAACAATAACATCTCTTACATAATGTATATTAATTTTATTCATGGATAATTGCCTAAATATATAAACCATTTTAAAATTTTAGAGGGCCAAATTGCCCAAAAAACACTATGCTAATAAAGACTTAAAAAGTAGATTAGAGACAAATTACCTATATATATAATCCTAAATGAAAAAAAAAACTAGGGGCAATTGCACCTATCAGGGCTCAAAGCGGTTCTGCCCCTAAATTCAAGTCAGGTTTGCGTAAAATAATTTGACCTATATGATATATGAACATATAGGTCGGATTTGGATAGAAACATATAGGTTGGAATCACTAATATATATATATATATTATATATAATAATATATAGATAATATATGATATATTACTAATATTAATTATATATATATATATATATATATATATATATATGCGGTTAAAATTGATATTTATTATTTAAATATATGAAAATATTGGATTAGTTTCATATTAAACAAATAAATTAAAACTAAACGCATAGGCCTTTCATAGCTAATTTTGAGTGTTAATTCACTAAGTCAGAATGTGCAAATTATTGCATCTGGTCACCGGACGCGTAAAATAGGTTCGGACATCCAATAAAATTTCTCCATGTCACCTGCGCTTTTGATTGGTCTTTAGGTGCGCTTTACTTGTGCTTTACCTACGTTTTTGACTGCACTTGTGATTGCACTTTGACTGCATTTTACCTGCTCTTTATCTACGCTTTACATGCGCTTTTGACACGCTTAATTTAAAATAATATTTCATTAATATCTGGACCTATCACCGCATCCGATGACCGGATGCAATAATTTGCCCAGAATGTGGACTTGATCTACCGTCCCTACCAGAAATGAATGAGCACGCAACGTCAAGGGATGTTTACAAAAATTATAAACTTACTTTACCGACTGATCGTACAAAAAAAAAGTTTCTATAATGACCGGTTTTCTTTCTCTCTACGACGCCGTAGGTTAAAAATTGACTTAGAAATAATCTAAAGTGTTTGGCTATATGAACAATGGACTCTCATTGCTTCTGCAAGCTAATCTAGACAAGAACAAGCCTGATTCTAATAAAGATCAGCGAAATTTTATCTTGCCCTGAAGATAGTATTTTTTTTTTTAAGGTAAAATAATATTCGTTTAAATTTAAATAATGGTTACGATTTATGTTGAAATGATAAAAATATTAAAAAAATAAAATACTTTGAAGAAAAAAATTCAAGAAGAAAGCACTCAAATATAGTCAATCTTCTATTTTGAAGAATTATATTTTTCATATATTTTTAGAGACTTTGGGCCTCAAATTTTCAACACGGTATGTGTTTTTATCTCTATTCTTTCATTTGCATTCAAACCCAAGTGCTTTAGGAAATTATCAATTTAAAATTACTTTCATGCTTCCAGCCATTAAAGAACAAACATTAAAACACCTATTCTCGTTCTTCTCTTCATGGCAATGATTCATCTCATATATCTATTATAAGGGCACATAAGAATTTTTACTTCTTTGTTTTAAAGGTGAAAACATCCTTTACATTTAAAGAATAATTGGTGCCTTACATAAATTTACACTTAAATTTCAATCATGTCATGGCGATGTCATACAATATGTATACCCATTAGCTACATACAATCTAATTTGCTATACACTAATACTAATTATTTGTACTAAATAAAAAATCAATAGATAAATATTGATTCCAATCCTATATGTTCATATTTGTAGGACACATATACTTTACCACATTCTCAATAAAAAAATTTTTATAGTGTTAAAATGCAGTAAAGCTACTCCTAAAAACATTACTCCAATCACAAGTGGTCTAACTCAAAGGATCGTACACATTTATTTGCAAGTCATTTTATAAGGCTCAATCTAATCCACACATGTCAAATTCTCGAGTGTAAAAATAGATTTTTGAGCGCATATAATTTTTTTCTTTGTTCTTAAGGGATAAAAAAACCTTTGCATGCCCAATTCAAAGCCAAGAATAGTCTCAAAAGGTTACTAGCGGATTGAGTACCGAGTATATTTACATATTTAACGTGTTCATTAAAAAAATATCTTTTCCAGCTTAAATTTTTGCTAAATCTACTATCATTGGATAATGCCTATTGCCATAAGATAAATTATATATAAATTCATTTAGACCTTTTTAAGTGTGTCAATTAAATAGGAAGAATATTATCTCTTTTAATTTTTATTTTGTTAAAAGTCCCACCTAGATTTATAATTAATATCTATATACTATAAAATATTTTTTAATAGATATAAGGGTATACTTCGTCTCATCTTTTTAGCATGCTCTTTGTACTTCTAGATGGATGCTGCTGTCGTATATCGTATCTTCAAATCTTGTCATATTTGATTGATGAGCTGCGTGGTTCAAAACAGCAAACACTGTACGGACGTGGACAATAGTCAGCTGATTATCAATGCAAAACTCCCCACCAAACAGCCCACCTGCAGAATTCTCTATATATCTAATATTTGTTCTGGTGTGCTCCAAATACCATTCGAATGGACAAATTTTATCAAATATTTTATTGTAAAAATAATGAAAAAATTTTTCCAATATTTAACAAAATGGAGCTATATTTTAGTTTGACCACAATATCATGCTTAATCATATATCTCCATGCATGCAATGATGACGCAGCGTCAAAATTTCATAAAAAGTTGTTATTAAAAAAAAATTGTGGCCTTTCATAAAAGAACTAACAAAATTCCAAAATTAAATTTTTAATTATTTAAAATGAGAGAGTAATGCCTCAACAAGGTCGAAGAATAATTACCTTCGAAGTGACCTAAAAAGACTATTTTGATAAATTTATGTAACAGGGCTAACAATAATAATAAGATTTAATTCATGTCTATCATTGTTGAGATATTTATCAAAGTTGCTACAATAGTTAATATGTTTTTAGAAATAATAGCTGCATCAAGAGCGTCAGACGAATTAAAGGGTAAAATTTTATTAAATAATATCTTATTAAAAATTTGCATAAAAATGTAATTTTCATTGTTTTATCTCATAAATGATTATATATGATTTTTTTTCTACTTTTTTATTTACGAAAATTTGCCAAAATATTTAGGCTCATGGAGAAA